TAACTCGTCCTGGAAAATGAGCAAAAATGTGGCGAAAAACGTGCAATTTTTCCGATATTCCAATTTTGTGTATTCAAGTACGTTCCACTTACTGAACAAACCTTCTTAAAAAATGTTTTATTTAAAAGCAGCGCAATGTAAAGAAATAAACACTGAAAACAATTTTTGTACATTTTTTTTACTTAATTGCGCAATCTGACATTGCATAAGTGCAGCAAGTTTTTTGAAATTGGCCCATATGAACTTAAGAAATTATTACAAATGTTGATCTGTTAACTGCACCGAAATCTCCATTTAAATCACGGCTTATGTTTTAATAATAATATCTGATAATGGTCGACCTTTTCCGTTTAATTCCACCTTTGCTTCGTATGAATGTTTAAAATGTCTCTGTACATTAATAAAATTATCAGCAAAATACAAGAACGGAAACTTTCTCCTCAATCAATTGCTTGATGTGTCCATTATCGGACACAAAACTTTTTACTGTTTTGTGTCCGATAATGGACAAAATTAATACTCCAAATGCATGCCAAGGCTTAAAGCAGCAACAACGCTACACATAAAAACTGATGATGGTGGAAAAATACACCGAAACGTATTTTGATTAATAAATAAAGACAATAAATGACTGAAACCCAGGAATGAATTTGATTTGGAATTTAAACGCAGTAAAATCTCCTTTTAAGTCACGACTTATTAATTTTGTATTTATATATTGGTGTTAATGGATCAGCTTCCACTGAGCTTTAAATTATTTTTTTGCCAGCTTTTCATTCAAACTATTTTAATGTTCTTTCGACGCACGATCATTCTCTATGACTTCTTTTTTAAATTCTTATTCGGGTGATTAGTTCTATCAACCTAGATAATAACAATAAAAGGAAAAGTCATACTGAATAATTAATTAACAGGCCAAATGCACAATGATAAAATAAAACGTACACAAACAATTTTTTGTAATGTAGGAGATGAAGGCCATGTTATACATGGCCGTCGAGCAAGCCCCTTCGGTCGAAAGCGTAGACGCAGAAGACCTGAGGAAGCATTTTGCCAATTTTGATGAGCAATTCTTCCATTACTGCGACAGCGAGCTGAAGAAGATCAATACATTTTATGCTGAGAAGCTTGCCGAGGCCACTAGGAAGTTTGCCACCTTAAATAGTGAACTCAAAGACTCGCTGAATAATATGAGATTAGGTAAATAACACCAGCAAATACCTTATTTAACTGCTCGCTGATTATGCGAAAATAATTGAAATAATCCAAGTATAACATCAAGATTGGGTCGACATCGTTGAATGCTTCTACACCCAGGCCAATGTTATGTTCATTTCTTCAGATACTTTGGTATTGAATGTGCGTATATTTTTGCAGGTCCGAAAAGAGATAAGAAGAGAGTTCCAGCTCGCAAGCTGCAAGATCTAAAGCTGGCTTTCAGCGAATTTTACCTCAGCCTGATATTGCTTCAAAACTACCAGACACTTAACAATACGGGATTCAGGAAAATACTCAAGAAACATGATAAGGTGCATTTAAGTTCTATGGCCCTTCCAAATGTTTGCATGAATGTTCAATTGTTGCAGTTACTTAACACAGATGTAGGCACAAAATGGCGAGAAGAGCACGTTGAAACATCTCACTTCACCAGTAATAAGGATATAGATAATATTATCAATGAAACGGAAAACGTGGTAACCAACGAGTTGGAAGGCGGAGACAGACAAAGGGTAGATTTCTCTATTATTATGTGATTAACCAATGAAAATAAATATCGTCATTTTTTCCAAGGCAATGAAACGACTTCGAGTGCCTCCTTTGGGCGAGCAGCAGTCACCATGGACCACTTTTAAGGTTGGCCTCTTCTCAGGAAGTTTCATTGTTCTTTTAATAACCGTCGTTTTATCGGGTAAGTTTGAACCGAACAGTGGAATATCTGCAAGAATATTATCTTTTTAAATACATGGCGCACTCATTTATGATTCACACCGTTAGCTTATTTTTCGCAATGAAATCCGAGATGCAGAGGAAAGAAAATACAACATCTAATAACAGAAATCATTTCTAAGCAGCGGTATTCTTGGGATCGAATTTACATGCACAGTCCACTAAATCGTCAAAAAAATCAAAACTATCAAAAAACTTCTGTTTATCTATGGTTTACTTAGTTATTGGGACAAATTTATTAGTGGAGTAATTGAACTTTGAAAAAGGTACATTATATCGAGTAGAACACATTTTTTCGAGGCGCATCGAACGTACGATCTTTTTTACGTTTTCAACGGATTTTAACATTATTTATATAAATGTTTTTTCTTTTATATTCCAGCCATATTCCACGATAGTGATAGCAACGATAATCTCAAAATAGCGTTTCGCATGTATCGAGGACCGCTCGTACTAATCGAATTCATATTTCTCATCGGCGTTAACATTTATGGATGGAGATCATCAGGAGTAAATCATGTGCTCATATTCGAATTGGATCCGAGAAATCATCTCTCTGAGCAGCACTTAATGGAGCTGGCAGCAATTTTCGGAGTCGTTTGGGCACTAAGTCTACTCAGCTTCTTGTATAGCGCCGCTCTGAGTATACCTGCTTACGTTAATCCTTTAGGACTCGTGATTATTATGGCTGTATTTCTATTTAACCCTCTAAAGGTGTTTAGACATGAGGCCAGGTTCTGGTTGTTAAGAGTTTGCGTAAGTTTGCGGCATCTTTACGTTACAAGAGTGCTGATAAGTGATATTACAGGGAAGGATGTTCGCAGCTCCGTTTTTCCATGTGGGATTCGCGGATTTCTGGCTAGCCGACCAGCTCAATAGCTTGGTAAATGGACTACTCGATGTACACTTTTTAATTTGTTTCTACTTCACTAATGGCAATTTTCTGGAAGCAGGAGGTAAGCACATTCTTAACATTTAACATTTAATTTCTTTAAAACCATTCGCAGATACCACATCGTGCATGGAAAAGAATTTCTTGATCAGGCCCTTGGTCAATTGTATACCCGCATGGATCCGTTTTGCTCAATGCCTCAGAAGATACTATGATTCCAGGGAACCGTTCCCGCATTTAGTCAACGCTGGAAAGTATTCTACTACCTTTTTTGTAGTTATTTTCGGCACTTTGAAAGGCTATTATAAAGGTAAGAGTTGGGCATTGTATATCAAGCATTAAGTAAAAAGTAGTCTTACAACAGAACAGTACAATTTAGCATAGAACCGCTCAACTTTACATCAGGGCTGCTTGAGGAAAATCTTTTCTGCCATAAATAACAAATGGTTCACTTTCAGCATCGAAATCCTCGATAGAAAATTTGTTTTCATATTCAGTAAATTTATCAAATGCAATCTTCCAACCAAAATGAAAAGCTGCAACAACGCAAATTTAAAATCAATGCAAATTTAAAAACGAAAACCATCAAACTTCAGAAAAATGTTTAAAAGTAAAAAAGTTCCATCACTAAATTAATCAATTTTTTCTATTTGTTTTTGAATTTCGTCAATTGTCACTAAGAAGTGCGAGGCAACGTAGAGAACAATAACCGAAATCAATTTTTTTCTTACAGACGATTACACATCAGTATTGGACAATCCATATTACATAATGTGGATTTTGTCGCAACTGGTCAGCTCTACCTACGCGTACATTTGGGATATAAAGATGGATTGGGGGCTGCTGGATAAAAATGCGGGTGAAAATACTTTTTTGCGTGAAGAAATAGTATATTCATCCTCGGTACGTTCAATATTAGTTCAGATTAAGCAAACATGTAGTTATCAAAGGAGGGCGGCTCTCATGGACATTGATGGCTTGAGTTTCTCCGGCTTAGAAGCCTTTGTATTACCATCTATGTCCGCAAGAGCCGGGACCTTATTTAACTAAAAACTCACCGCATGGAAGAAAATAATAATTAATGTCAACTTTCTGTCTTTCATTTGTAGTTTTTCTATTATTTTGCCATAATCGAAGACTTTGTCCTGCGATTTACTTGGACCATTGCAATATACTTAACGGAGTTCAAATACATCAGTCCAGATATGATGACATCCATTACGTCCCCACTTGAAGTGTTCCGCAGGTTTGTGTTCTTTACACTCATTTTAGCAGGTATTATAATGTAAAAAATAACTTCAGATTTGTTTGGAATTTCTTCCGCTTGGAGAACGAACATTTGAACAATTGCGGTAAGTTCAGAGCCGTCCGGGACATTTCGGTGGCTCCTATCGATTCATCCGATCACATCCAAATTCTTCGTATGATGGACGAGGATGATGGAGTGGCGCATAGAGGTAAAAAACAGAAAGCGCCCAAAAAGAAAGAGGACAAAATGCTCCTATTGCCCGACGCCACAATTGTCAACTTTAAAAATATTCCTTTTTCGGGCATACAAGGTTGATTCAGCAGTTTTTTATATCGCATTCATGCAGTAACTTACAATTAGCTTTAGTTAGTTCCTTTTTACAAGTGAAAAAAGACGTAGGATTTTTGAGCTTTTTACATACGAATGTATTACGGAAGTGCCTTCAATAGTTTTATACATATACAGGGTGTCATCAGTTGGTGTGCATACGCAACAAATTTTACTTTCTTTCATAAAACAATGAGGTTGTGGATTTTTTTACATCTACATAAAACTCAGAACCTTGTTTGATACAGTCAAAATACGTTTATTATTTCTGATTTATCAGTCAAAAGCAAGTGGTTTGCCTGGTCAAACTTGTCAAAGAAGGCTAAAAGATATTGTTGCAATAAAAACCTCAATGAAAATTAGATTCTACAAACTAATTTCTGGAATATTCAATCTCCTCCGATGCCACCCTGTACTTTTTTTTTAAATGTTCTCTGGTAGTTTTCTCACAACATCGAAGAAGAAGTTTATTTCTTGAATAGTATTATAGACTTTTTATTAAAATGCCCACGCACGGTGAGTAGCTATAATATAAGACTATACATGATGATTCAGGATATGTGTAGAATAAACGGTATATGCACATCTGTCCAGATCCGATTTTTATTTGTTTCAGAGATTAATTGCAATTTAAAAACAATCAAATCATAATGACAATATTGTACAGTTTGGAAGACACCTGGATCACCCTGTATACATTAAAATCTATAACCCACATTCCTTATTATGTTATAAAAAGAAACCAACACATGCAGGTTGTCCCAATTGTGTTTAAAAAAATCTTCCGTGTCGCATAACTTGAATAGCATATTTTGTCATCCCTTTATCTTATTCTCACAGTATTAAAACGACCCATTCATCTGAGACCAATTTGAACCACACTGTACACATATACATAAGTGTACTTCTCGAATTAGTACTTAAAATCTATTAAAGGTACTTAGTCATCTCTCATGAAATAGTGATAGTGAAACGTGGTTACCCAAGCGCCAAGATATTTTTCCCGTTCTAAAGTGCCACATTCCTCCCTTTTAGCATGTTGCCCAATTTTACTCAATGCAAGTTAATTGCCCAATATTACTATTATCATGTAAGATTGTTCAGTAATAAAGTATATTTTATATAAGTGGAATTGTTCACGTATGTTCCCATCCTTTAAAAACATAAGTCCCAGATCGAATTATTTGTGCCAGCGCATAATTATAATTACACTTTGTCTCGTGTTTTGGTTTATTGTACAAACAGTTTATCACAGTATTTACTATTTTACAAGTGAATTAAATGCATAGTTTGTTAAGAATTGCTGGCAATCATATTATTAGAGCATGTTTCATACCAAGCAATCTTTACTGGGGCTCCTTAGACTATTAGAAGAAGCTATCGGTTCGGCAATAACAACCAACCATTGAAGACTGGGTGATTTTTTAGCATGCTGTGCTTTTAGAGAGAAAGTTACGCAAAAATAGTACGTTTGAGTGTCAAGAGATAACGATTTCAGCCTGAAATTCTACGAAACATGCATCATCCATTTGAGCAAAGCTATAAATTATTGTGGTGAAAACTATTTAAAAAGTTGCCACAATTTTACGATTAAAATTGTGTGCGACCCGCTAAAGTAACATCATTAAAAAAAGATACAGTCGCAATAAAATGGAAATACCTTTGCAACAAGGAGAAAGTCGTTCCACTATTATGTTTCCTTATGGAAATGTAAATTAACGAGCCGAGCTTTTTTTAATATTCTAAGGATCCGAGATAGTGGTCGCTTCGTTTCTGTTTAGCCCCACATTTCATTAAATTCGCCTAATACTGTATTCTAATTTACATAATACTTTTACTAAAAATATTGACGAGCAACAACCGAAAGGAAAATAAAAATACTTACATATTGCTTCGAATTAAAGATCCAGTCCTTTGCCCATTCCGGCATAGTGATCGGGAACTTCCAAGAAATATCTGTGCATCGCCTCGATAAACCGTTTCTGATACTCTTCCGGTGATATTATAGTGGGAAGTTTGCCTTGTCCGCCGAGAATTCCCGTTCTTTTAACTATGGTTTCTAGCTTTTTGTCCCAGGTAAACGTTCTGATGTAGTCTAGAAAAGAAATTCGCTTTGTTCCACAATGATTAAATAATCGCGATAAGAACCTAGGGTGAATAATGTTAAATGAACGAATTTTTTTTTGCAATTATCTTATGAAACTTTTGTAAATATATAGTATGTTGTTGAATCCCGTCCCTGAATGTCATGGCTAAAATATCATAAATATACTGGTGGGTGTTCCATAGGAAAATAATCATTTGGCACCGAAAAATTCATTGGCTCAAATCAAGCCGGTCTGATACTAAATGTTATCAAGGAAAAATGTCTGGGGCTTTTGTTTTGATGCTCAAAGATTTTAGTGAAACTTTTTCTTCTATAAATCGTCGCCTTTGCCAAAATGGTTGCTTTACCTAAAAAAAGGTTGAACATTTCAAAAATGTACCGAGTGTTGCTTTTTTATGCCATAAAACCATCGGTTTCCCGGTAGGCACGCTTGTGAAAATACTGCAACAATGGTGCCTAGTTTGTAGAAATTTCACTACAATCAATTAAAAATTAATACATAGAAACATTTTTTACAAATTTCAAATCCTGTATCAAAAACGCTTTGCTTTCGGACATATATTTATAATAAAATGTTTTAATTTCCTTTGCTCGATTAAAGCATCAGCTCTCCAAAATAAACAACATTCAAAAAGGTTTTGTTGCGATAAAAATATCATTTTGCATATTGATTCCTTCCACCGGGAAAGTCCAATTAAAAAACTTCTTAAACATACTTATTTAGACAAAATTTCATAAATCGCCCTATATAATTTAAGCGCTAAACATCGCCTCCTGTTCATTTACATTTACCTATAATTCCAAGAACCAGTTCTTTATTCTTCATATCCAACCCTACGAGGAGCGAATAATCCATAACAGATTGGGTAGACAGAAATTCCGTGTCATTTTGGATAGCAGCAAGTAAAACTTCTTTGGCATGCGGCAACACGTACAAGGGATTATCGCAAGTCACTAAAAACCATAAATGTAGCATTCTCTGTCGAATTAACCATTGGTAACACACTTTTTAATAGGTTTTCGTCAAGCCAAACAACTTCGCCCTCTTCATTGTCAGGTACCACCAATCTGTTCCTCATCGAGCCCTTTAAGTCGAATTTCTGAGAAACATTCCGGTTGTAGAACAGGTTTTCCATCACCAAAAGGTAGCATCTATGTTCAACGTTGGACGCGTTTTTGTAGAATATTTGATAAATACCCACAATTTTTCCCAGCAGCGTTGGCTGCATTGTGCTGCAGCATTTCTGCATGTATGTAAAATAATTAGCAGACGATTCCAGAAAGATTTGAACCTCCGCCCTTGGCATGTCTTTTAAAATAAATCTATCATCTGTAATAAACCAGATTAAAGCCGAAGCTTAAACACTTAAAACGCTTAAAACACCATCAAAACAAACCTTGCGTTTTTGAAAAACTTGAACCAGATTTTCCGCCCACGGCTTTCCAATGAATCGATCTGCTCAGTGATCTGATGTAGGTTTCCTCGCCGATTGGCAGCACGGACGATCTCAGATTCGCAAACTTATCAGCAAGATAAACGCGGCAAAAGAAGTTGCAAGTGCTATCCTGAAATTGGACCTCAATGTGGCAGTGCTTGTTCTTTTTCAGATCTTCAGAGGGTTTTTCGGAAGTGGCCGTTGCCTGCTCTGTGTCTCTATAACAAGATTTCGAAAAAGGTTTGATGGTAAATAGTGGAACACTCAACCATTGCAAAAAACCAGTCAGAACAGTTATAAAAACGTTACGACTGTTCCTTAAACCCTTGTGCCTCTCCTTTCGACCAAAGAGTTCAGGATTAACATATCGATTATATGCCAAAATAGTTTTAATCAAAATTCTGTACTTGATTTTGCTTAATCTCTTCGCCTGTTGTTGGTTTCGAAAATTCCCTATACAGAAACCAATCGAACCCGATTGGGAACAATGGAAAATGGGTAGCGAAATTTGTGCGAAAAAAAAAATTCAGATAAAACTTCAGAACACACGCAAACATCAATAGCGTTTTCCATAACCATATGGGTATATTGAAACGTATACGGAAAAACGAGCGGATCTGAAACTTAAAAGTAATTACAAAAATTAAACACTTACAATAGTTCGGTGCCAGGTGCAGCTAAAGGACTACCCAAATCCATCTTCGAATCCTTGTTACGCAAAAAGCCCAACAATCCGCTAACTTTCTCGTCATCAGCTTTTTCCTTATCTGTGTTGTTTTTTCGCTTGCTCACAGGGCTGGGTGTTTGGTCGCAATTATGGATTTTCTTGATGTCCAGCTCTTCAAGTGCCTTTCTGTACTCGAACGAGTTTAAGGCGTGCGCTATTATGGAACTGAGTTCGTTTTCGATTACTGGAATCGTGCCATAAGCTCCTGAAGGCAGATTGTAATGCTCATCGGGTGCAAATGGGCTCTATTTCCAAAAGTTTATTACTAAATTATCGTTGCAAGAAAAACATATTTTACCGGAATTAAATTGACTTGTCCTGATGATGGCAGAAGCTTATCCAGTATGTTTTTGACCGATTTTTCTTTCCTGATTATTTCCTTTTTGCTGTCAGTGGATTCTTCAATGTGTGTCCCTGAAGTATCCGACTGGTGTCGACTGGCTTCTTCAAAACTTTCTCCTGAAAGCAACATGGTTAAACATAAGAATGAAAAACAATCTGTGGAAACAGTGGAGAAACCTTTTTCAGAGAGAGCGGGTTCTTTATATGAATCAAAGATAGATTTTTCGGATGCCTCATTAGCCGGGCTTTCTAAGTCAGACACCGCATTTTTCTCCTTCCTTTTATCAGATTTCCTTATTGCCTCCCCCAAGTGACAATTCCAGTTCTCCACTATTTCGGCCAATGCTAGTTTAATGTTGGTAACGCTGTCCTGAAAACATGCAGAATTATGCTGTTATTCCAGAATATGAATTCAACAATGCCATACTTGTATCTTCCAGTATGACTGAAATATTGCCTCCTGCTCAAAAGCCCTATTTTCATTGGTTGGCGAGGTCAACTTCAGTTGCACTTCTTCTACCTAGAATTTCCGTGATTTAGTTAGCTTTACTAATCAGCGACATACAAATACCACTCACTTTCTGTTTGAACTGACTCTGCTCTTTAGAGAGCACCTGCCATACATTCCCAATGCCCTCCAGCTCTTCTCCAGGGACAACAGCCGCTTTTTTCTGGATTAGCAGGAACAAATCGTGTCCTTTTTGGGTTAAAGTCTTTATTTCCTCTATGAGCGCAGTGTGGCGCTCGGCTGAATTATCAGTTATTTTTATTACAGGCGGTGGAAGGGAAATTTCCCATATGTTGATCGACGAATACCTAGAACAGCAATATACATGTTTGAATGTTTTTAAGTCCATTATTCGAACTTACAATGTTTGTATCAACTAAGTTCGGTTGGCAGTATACTGCTACTGGTGGATTAATTGAAAATAATAACTTTTGGAAATATTCGAAATCGCTAATTTCAGGCTGAACCCAGCTGATGAGAGCTAATAGGCTCGAAACCTACCCTGGGGGTGCCTGAGATTAACTATTTCAAAAGCCCATGACGGCTCTGCTGATGCCGAAAGCCTTTCATTGTTAATAAAATGTTGTTTGGTTCAGTTCAATGTGAATAATATCCATTTACCAAGCACTAGTAATAAGTGAAATTTGTTTCCTTTGCGACCATCGTTTTTAGATCCGACGCGCGGAGTTCCGTGTTCAACTTAATCGGGTCAACACAAAAATGAAGTTAAATATCCATATGCTGCAATACTTACTTGAAAGAGGCCACGTAGTTCTTGTAAGCGAAATAGTGATAGTGATCGTGATGCAAACTGTGCCGACATGGACTTTGGCCTCGCCTATTAAAAATCTCCCCATGAAATCTAAGAAAAGCAAAGGCATTATTTTCCTCCCAGAAAAAAATGTGCAACGCACCTTAATTCCAAATATTTGGCAAATGAATACGACCAAGAGTCTGCAGACAGGGGAACCACTGGAGACACGCTCTGGCACTTCGTACACCAACTCCACATTACAATATTTTCTTCGGCAAACTCGTTGGTGAAATTATTCAACGACACAGTTACACTACCTGCAAAAATCGAATTAAAATTATGCCATTCATAGCGGCCAACGAGAAAATTGCCTGAATTATGGACAAATCTCCGAATATGCTGAACCATAGATGTGCTACACGACTTGGACGGGCACGTATAAGATGCTCTGAAGCAATACCTTTCAAGGAAGCATCCTATAGGTATGTCGTTTCGACCATAAAAATCCATGTAAACCACCCTGAATGTTCAATGTTTACAATCAAGTGTTGTTATAAGGATAAAATACGAATTACCAAGGATTCACACAAAATGCGGGCGCATTACTGGACTCGTGGCTGAAACTGTAAAATAGAACCGCCAATCGTTGGTGGTTCGACGGATCCAACACATCCATGCGCTTCTTTTCCGAATTTACCTTCACAGGCTTATCTGGGATCGGTCCGATAATGTTGAAAATTTCCTTCTTCGAGTATTGGCCTCCACAAGCTCTAAAATGTGCCAACATGTTTTGAATGCTGTTGCTGTCGACATTTCGAATTTTCGCCGCTTGAAACGGATGCAGTGTTGTTAACTAAAAAATAGATGATCATGAAGCGAATTGACTTTGTTTGGTAACGATTTTGCACTTATTAACCACATGCCGAATTAAACAGTAGGAACCCAAAATATATGTAAAACACAATGTATTTATAATGTGCAAAAACGCATTTAAAATTAGGAGGATTAGCAGGATTATATTAAAAAACACTATAATTCATAAAACATGAGTTTCTTTTATCTATTATTTATCTCCAACGAAACGCTTTTATCCAAAGAAATGTAGCTTGAAATTTGTATTTAAAAAATTGCGTAAAAAATCGATAAACATATCCACCTGCAATCAAACTCCGACTTTCTATATTAAAAAAAACAAGGTCAACAACACACAGGAACTTGTTTTGTTGGGTCACCCTGTACATGGTTTACTCGTAAGATAAAATCTCCAAAAAGGTGAGACATCCATATAGTTCAACAATGATATACAAGAACGCCTATACGTACATTTTTCTTGTTATTGTCCTCAAGTACATTTTCTGCTGTTTCGATATTCTTCCATTTGCTCTTCGTGCTGGTTTCAAACTGTTCACTGTAATACATGTCCTTATAGAAAAATCGCCGGAGGTCGCATTTTCTGCCCACGTCCGTTTCTAGATAAGGCACGGGTAACAATATATAAGGCGAAATGCACAGGATAGTGTCGTCCAGATACTTTTTAAATTTATTCGAAAATGGAAGTTGGGCAACCGTTAAAGTTTCGCCAACCAGAGATTTTTTTGAGGCGGCATCGTATGACTGCAAAGGATCAGAGTTGTCATTTACTGACTCAACAGTGACTTTCTTCGGCTCAGAGGACTGCAGCGGATCCGTGAATATTTCCATTTGCTTCGGAGTCACTTTTTTCTCATCCAGCAGCGATCTAATATTCTCACCCTCTTCACTTGACTGTTTGTCCTGTTTCTCGATCAAATCTTCGACTGAAATCTGAAAAATATTTCCAATTTGCCACACATTTTTCCAAACAAAAACTACTTTAGATTTGCGCATATCCTTACTCTCAATGATAAGTTTTACCATCAAATAATTAGCTGTTCAACTAACATTGCAAAAATTTATAAGGGTTTTTCTTAAGTTCTGGACAAACCGATAAATGAGGCGAATTTTCTAGCAAAATTAATTTTGTCTTTTTTGGCTGAAGAGACCTCATTATCAGGAAGGAAAGAAGAAAATCATCAGAAAATAATGTTTTTTGCGTTTTTGATTAAAAACTTTTAGTCTTGTGATTTTCGGGGAAAAACACGAGAAATTTATTTTAGTTTTTGTCTACAAAAAAGCTCTACAGTCTT